GATGAACTTTATGTGGCCACCAAAAACGTTTATTTAAATAAAATCAGGACCAACTACATACTTTAAAAGGCTTTAATAAAACATTATTTCTATCCCTCAAACCGTTCTAAGTGCTTCTCTGAAAGACACGAAGTGCTAGTGGATGATTTGAGAAACTAAATCTGCCCAAGACCATTCATCTCCACCTAATTTCAAAACATTGATTGAAATATCAATTTGGAGTTTGTATAGTATTTTTTCAATCATTTAGATTGAATATTACAAAATTTATGTTTTACGCTAATATTTTGTACTTGTTTTAAATCTAATCGAATCTAGGGCTATAATAAATTGTCCCTTCTCACGCTTGAAGAATTAACTCTTTATTTGTGAAAAAGCCAATTATCATAGTAGTCGAGTTGGCTTTAACTTATCACTGATAAAATAAAACATACCCATAAAATAAAAAAATCTGTGTTCTACGTTATTCTACATTCCAACTGAAACTATTGCACATGCGTTAGTTAATTTTGCCGTCAGAATGTACCACGTTTTCTCTTCTCTCCCTTTTTAATTGCTATTTCAAATAATCTATTAATTTTTAAACATTCGATAATACACTAAAGAATTGTTCTTAAGGTAAGACTTGTAATTCAAAATGAGGTTTTGAGTATATAGGTTTACAACAAGATTGAAGTTTATTATTATTAACTCATAGAGATTATTAATAAAAGTGCAAATCAAAATACACGTGCTGTATAAATATATCATTTTTTATAAACTGCATCAGCTTATTTGGATTGAAGAGCTTAGCACTTAGTTCCCTTTTAAATGACAAGTATTAAATTATTAACACAGTGATTGTACATTGTCATGTACCTGTTACAATCACCTAAACATCCTGTATGAGTTAACTAACCTCTGGAGTTAGACGTTAGACGCATTTCTAGCATGCCATTTGATAGCTTTTATTTTACTTTTGTTTTAGTATGTTTTTAAAAATATTATCACGCTTTTTTTTTTATTCTATACAGTTTTTAAAGTTTTTTCGCTAAGTTCTGTTGATGACATATCTTTGACAATTTGTAAGTATTAGCATGTTTTGAACCGTGGTTTTGTCTAAACGCACAACGTTTTTAGAGAGGTGTTGAGTTGAACCATGGTTCAGTTCATTGAATTGAACCATGAGGCACCAAATTGAACCATTACAAATAAAAACATTTGCAATTTTAGGCGATACGAAGATTGTTGATATAAAAAATTGCTAATACATTAAAATGCATCCTTTTACGCACGCAAATAATAATAAGAAAAATTTACATTACAGATTAAAACTTTGTTAAAAAAAGGTTTGTTGCGTTTTTACAGCATTATGCAAAATGTCAAAACATTGATCTGTAGCATTGTGAACATAATGAGTCAAATATTAAAAAGATTTCAATTCAATCAATTCAAATCACTTGAAAAAGTGAACTGTAGAAACCACCTCAGTAGAAAAAAGTAATAGTAGAAAAGTGGAAAAAAAAGTTGAATGTGTGTTAAGAATAATGCGAACAAGACTACAATAACTCAGGGCTAAAGAGAATAGAAGGGCTGGTTCACTCCTTTGAAGTATCTCTCGCCGCGCCGATCCTCCGACGTCACTCTAGTGACGTCACNCAAAACTCTCTTGTGAAAAAGCACATACTTTTCGTGTTTATTGCAGATATTCAACACGGTGACATAAAGGGCTAAATTTAGTAACTATTATAGTAAGATGTTAACTTGAACCAATTACCGATCTTTAGTGAGATGCCAATTCACGTTACAACCTTAGTGAAATACTTAACATGAACCACGTAATAACCTTATAGAAGTGTTAAACTTGAAATGCGTAACCACCTTAGTGAAGTGTTAAACGTGAAACACGTAATAACCTTACCCGAAATAAAATTTTCGATGATTTTTCTACGATGGGCAAACATGAATAGATGGTTTCCGTCATAAGTGTCCATCAAAAACCATCTTACTTCTTGATGGTGAAATCATCCCTTATCAGGAATTGGAACAACTTCATGTTGGCCCAGCATGAGCAAAACTAACCTGATTTGATGGTTTTGTTTGATGGTCCAACAGAAACAATTCATCATGAACCAACATATTTTATTAGTATCCAACTTATTATCCTATCAAAAACCATCTTAATTCTTGAGGGTATCACCAAGACTGAAAATCATTCATGTTAGAAATTGGAACAAGTTTATTTCGGAGTGAAGTGTTAAACTTAAACCAAGTATTAACCCAAGCAGAATGCCAACTTAAACTACCCTGTAAGAAAGTTCCGAAAAAATTACGGTAAAAAGTATCGGCACTCAAGGTGACAGTACTTTTTAATTCATACAGTAAAATTTTACGGAAAAAAAATATTGTAATTTTTTCAGTAATATTCATTGCAAAATCACTGAAGTACTGTAATTTAATAAATGTTTCTGAAAAAATTAAGATATAAAATTTTACGATAAAAAGAGATTTTAATGATACTGCACTATGGGTGTCAGTATTTTTTACCGTAATTTCATTCGAAATGTTTTACAGCGTAAGTAAACGTGCTGGCTAATTCTTTTTGCACTTAATTCTACGTTACTATGTCTCAAAGTACCCAAAATATGGATAAAACTTGAGGAAATAATTCTCATCAGGTATAGAGATAAATGTTATAGAGTTATAGTTTTAGTTAACTATTTCTGTATATAATTAAAAATACCTTTAAAATGTTTTTAACGGTAAATTTAGCATTCATATTTATTTATACGTAAAAAAATCATTGTATTTTTAACCATAATATTAGTACCAACATTAAAGTCATAATATTATTTAACAGTTTCTAATCATGCTATTACATTACTAGTTTCGAACCATAATTTTATGCTATTAATTAGCTTCTTTATTGATCAAAATAAACACAACTATATATTGTAGAGATATATATTTTCGTGTTTAGAAATTATTTAATATTTATTTATTTACTTATTTCTGAATATAATTTAACATGTTATTAAATGGTTCTACGATTAGTTTAAATTTCTCTTTAATTGCTCAGCTTGAATGAAAAAAATTAATTGGAATCACGCCGAAAGTATCTTATATTATTAATTTGCTTCATCTAAAAACAAAATTATCCCATTGAAGCAGAATTTTCATTAAATTTATTTTTCACACTTTTTCATTATTTTGTATTAATTTAGGTCATAATAAGTGAAAAATATTATATTTATCGTTTTAATAATTTATAGTTATGAAATACAGCATGGAACACCGGTGTCCCTTTCTGGTTAAGAGTAAAATCTTCCAAATCTCATTTTTTAAACAGTAGCTTTTCAAGTTTGCATTTATATGCAGTTATTTAGGTATAAAAGAGAAATAGTAATTTATTATTGAAGTTTCTTTTACTTTAAAGAATACTAATGAATTTCTGAATATGAAAGAAAACAATTTTTTTTTCAGACTACATGTTTTGGATTACATAATTCAGTACATGTATAATTCTGATAATCTAACAAATATTTCTCTTACTATTCAAGTGATTTTTATAGTTAAAAAATAACAAAATACATTTTTGATCGTAATTAGAGTTCCGGAAAAAAATATATAAATGTAAAAGGGTCACCGATGTCTCATCTGCGTCAAACGCTTAAGGTTTCGAGCAGCTACCGAGAAGTTTTCAGGTTCATATTGGCCCTCATAGGCTGGCAGTTCCGTCAAATGTCCTGAAGCTGGGAGGTAGCGGGCTCGAATCTCACTGCAACCCTGAACGTATCTTCGTGGGGTTCTTTAAATTGTACTATTTGTTCTTCAACTTGACAAGGTTCCC